TCTGGTACCAAATATCATTCTTGTAGAGTGCATATTACGAATGTGAGAGGCTTAAACACCAAATCGGATAAAACATATATATGGGAGCTATAGCTGTTTCTGAACCGATTTTCTCCAAATTTATTGTATTTGCTTTAAGGCTAATCTCGGTCACATGTGCCAAAATTCGGGCCATTTGGGCTGATATTGGCCATTTGGTGGTCAATTAACCCGAAATCGGAAGAAGATATATATGGGAGCTATATCCAAATCTGAACCGATTTCGATAAAATTTAAAACAGCTATTTCTGTGCTCCATCTAATACCTGGTACCAAATATCACGGCTGTGGAGTGCATGGTAGGAATGTGAGGGACTTAAAGATCAAATCGGATGAAAGATATATATGGGAGCTATAGCTATATCTGAACCGATTTTCTCCAAATTTGATATACTTGCTTCTAGGCCGAACTCGGTTGGGTGTGCCAAAATTCAGGTAATTTGGACTGATAGTGGTGATAAATGGTGCACATTTAACCCGAAATCGGATGAAGATATATATGGGAGCTATATCTAAATTTGATCCGATTCTCACCAATTTCAATAGGGTTCGTCCTTGGGCCAAAAACATATCAGCCCAAATGGCCCGAATTTTGGCACATGTGAGCGAGATTAGCCTTAAAGCAAATACAACAAATTTGGAGAAAATCGGTTAAGAAACAGCTATAGCTCCCATATATATGTTTCATCCGATTTGGTGTTTAAGCCTCTCAGTCCCCATACAACGGTACATTCCTTTATTCGGAATTGTTTCGAATTTCGTATTTGAAGTTCGGAATCGGTACTACAGCTTATGACAGAGAATTACTTATCCGGCACCACGTCTTCGCGTAGCACCCCTTGAACAGTATTTTTCGGCTGATTTTTTTTTTAATATTTTCAAGTTCCTTACGAATGGTGGGGGTGGTATAAACATATAGCTGTCTTTTTACTTTTTGTTTTAAGGCAACACAGTTTTGATCCATGGAAAATGCAAGATTCTCTATAGCATTGACAATAAAAATCAACCTTCCAGTCTACCATGCACCACTGTGAAGCTACAGTTATTGGAACGTATGTCCCAACCTTGTGACATTTCAAGCAGCTAAAATTGTGTCTACCATAAAACGAAGAGAAAATCTCACTATAGAAGAGGTATATCCTTTGTCTCCCAGCGTATTTCAGAAGAAATGTGAAGTTATTGTGGGTGCATGTGAGTGTTTGGAATAAAGCTTTTGGTCATCCAGATCGTGACACACATTTGTGCAGAATCCCACGCAGCAACACACTAACACACACACAACCACATTCAAACAAAACATTTTTTTACATCTATTTGCGCTCTTTGTTGACATTCGACCCGAAATTCTTGTCTAGCATTCTTTTCGTTCGTTTTTTGTTTGCTTGCTTTTTTACCCAGCTAAATTGCTGGCGAAGCTTATCTTGTACTTTAGCAAAGATGAGCATGACTTTTATCGTTGGTAGGTGTATTTGTGTGCGAATTCCCGGATATTTTTTGGGAAACCCACAATGAATGCTGTGCGAAAAGAAGAAGAAAAAAGAACATTAGTTGACATTTGGTTGCACTTTTTTGACATTATGGCAAAAGGTTTTAGCATTTTTTGTTTGTTGGTTTAAAATGAATTCTCTGAGTTCAATTTTTGGCACGAGAATTGTCAGTTGGTGTAGACAAAATCCATCAGACTTAAGAGATCATATGACGCTGAGAATTTAAGATAAGTTAATATATTCCTATAAAAGTTAGGAATTTAAGTTGTATCTCTTGCAAAATAAAGTAAGATAAGAACACGTTTGGACTTTGAAAACCACTTGACTTTAAATGTCAATATCCAAGGGATATTATTTGACGTATCCGGTATCGAATCGACATTTGAGATCGAGTGAACTTCTTAAATATAAACATACTTTACGATTTACGTACGATTTACAGTTTTAACCAGTAAGGAAAGCTCAAAAGTCGGGCGGGGCCGACTATATGATACCCTACACCACTATGCATATTTAGTAGAGCTCTCGTAAAAAGGTTAATACAGGGCATTTCAGAGCTCTATGAGATATTTGGTACAAAATCAAAATCTATATAACTCTATCGTGCATTTTACGAACTATAGCTATCTCTGAACCGGGTTTCTCCAAATTTTACGTATTAGCTTGTAGACTGGTGATTTGGGCTGATATTGACCATTTAGTGCACATTTAACCCGAAATCGGATGAAGATATATATGAGAGCTATATCCAAATCTGAACCGATTTCGATAAAATTTAAAACAGCTATTCCTGTGCTCCATCTAATACCTGGTACCAAATATCAAGGTTGTGGAGTGAATATTACGAATGTATGGGACTAAAACTCTAAATCGGATGAAACATATATATGGTTGCTATATTTATATCTGAACCGATTTTCACCAAATTTGATATACTTGCTTCTAGGCTGAATTTGGTCCGATGTACTAAAATTCAGTCCATTTGGACTTATATCAGCCATTTGGTGCACAATTAACCCGAAATCGGATGAAGATATATATGGGAGCTATATCCAAATCTGAACCGATTTCGATAAAATTACAAACAGCTATTTCTGGGCTGTATCTTATATCTGGTACCCAATATCATTCTTGTGGAGTGCATATTACGAATGTGAGAGGCTTAAACACCAAATCGGATGAAAGATATATATGGGAGCTATAGCTATATCTGAACCGATTTTCTCCAAATTTGATATACTTGCTTCTAGGCCGAACTCGGTTGGGTGTGCCAAAATTCAGGTAATTTGGACTGATAGAGGACATTTGGTGCACATTTAACACGAAATCGGATGAAGATATATATGGGAGCTATAGCTGTTTCTGAACTGATTTTCTCCAAATTTGTTTTATTTGCTTTAAGGCTAATCTCGGTCACATGTGCCAAAATTCGGGCCATTTGGGCTGATATTGGCCATTTGGTGGTTTATTAACCCGAAATCGGATGAAGATATATATGGGAGCTACATCCAATTCTGAACCGATTTCGATAAAATTTAAAACAGCTATTTCTGTGCTCCATCTAATACCTGGTACCAAATATCACGGTTGTGGAGTGCATAGTAGGAATGTGAGGGACTTAAAGATCAAATCGGATGAAAGATATATATGGGAGCTATAGCTATATCTGAACCGATTTTCTCCAAATTTGATATACTTGCTTCTAGGCCGAACTCGGTTGGGTGTGCCAAAATTTAGGTAATTTGGACTGATAGTGAACATTTGGTGCACATTTAACCCGAAATCGGATGAAGATATATATGGGAGCTATATCTAAATTTGATCCGATTCTCACCAATTTCAATAGGGTTCGTCCTTGGGACAAAAAAATATTGTTTGGAAAATTTCATCTCAATCGGATAATAAATGCGACCTGCATTTTGTTCACAAGAATACATGGACAGACGGACGGACGGACAGACGGACTGACATGCATGAATCGACTCAGAAAGTGATTCTATGAAGGTTCTCAAAAGTAACTATGGGTCTATCTCGTTTCCTTCTCCATGTTACAAACAAATGCACAAAGACATAATACCCTTACCACTATGTGGTGTAGGGTATAAAAAGGGAAACTAAGACACAAAATACCATTTTTGATGAAATTTAATGGAAAATATAACTGAAATGTAAAAAATACCTGATATCGGGGTGTAATCTTTTTTTAAGGGCTGTACAAAAATATGGATCGAATTTACACATTTTATGTCCCAAAATATTGGGATCTCCTTGAGTATGGTTAAGGTTATATTAAGGCCTTAAAAAGTTTGACCAGAGAACGAATTTGGAAATTTTCAAAAAATTAAAATCCGTTAAAAAATCTGTTAAAATCTTAAAAATACCGAATGTAGCCGTTATATTAAGTCTATACGACGAGGTGGATCTGTATAGGCAACTTTTGTCATACGCCATTACAATATTCAAATACCAAATTTAAAACCCAGTGAATAATGTCGCTAAAATCGTCAAAATGCCGAATATGGGGAAGTACTGTTATGTGAGGGCTATACAGGGTTGCCCATATTCGACGGACCCATGTTGGGTTTGGGCCCATTCCAATCGACGAGGCTTGTCCGCAGGCAACATTCCATGGTAGAAGAATATAGGTAGATGCGTCGACACAGCTGCTGGGACAATGAACTGTCAAACCAATTTTGGAATTGAAAATGTTGAATGAAAAATTATTTAAATTTGTAAAGATTGTTGAAAAACGCGAATTATAATAGCCTCCGAATGACGTAGTATAAGAAAACATATAAAGATCTACTTATAATTGAAAATACATTTAAATTTTTTTTGACATATCAATGTTCCCAAGCGTTGATGCATCTACCTGTATTCTTCTGCCATGCAACATTCTATACCAAAACGTGGACCTATATGACCCATTTTTAATACCAAAAGTCCTGCAGACATAATATACATTTTAGTAAAATTTTATCAATCTACTTCATTTCGTTCGGAAACTAGAGTGATTTCCACAGACGGACAGACGTACGGACATCGCTAAATCGACATAGAATTTTATGCTAATCAAGAATATATTTACTTTGCGCGGTCTAAAATGCCTATTTCGAGGTGTTGCAAAAGGAATGACAAACTTAATATGAAAAACCTTTTGATCTCTGTTTCTACATTCCCACATTTACAAAATTCAATTCTTTGAAAATTATTATTATTTATTTTTTTATTTATTTATTTATTTATTTTTTTTTTTTTAATTTCAAACATGGTTTTTTACAACGCATTTTATTATTATGTTCCTATTTAGACATATTTTCTATCCAACTTAGTTCTCTACTAGTAGTTCCAGGTGTCATCTAGTTTAAGTTTTGACACACGTCGAGTACCAAGTAAGTTCAATTGTTTACATTTTCTAATATAACGGTAAAAAGAATATGAAAAAGAATAAACGTCAACATTTTAGAATTACCTACAATAACTCTTTTTTGTTATGTTCTTTGTTAAACATTAACTATCTTTGTCTTCATAAAAATAAAATTATTTAAAATAAATTAAATCGCTCAATATTTGCTATGGAGTTACGAAGTTCGCGTAGTCGCAATGAGTATAAAGAACTGCAATTGACTCTAAATGGTAAGTAGAACAAATTCAAATAGGTTTTCAAAATAATTCAAGAGATTCACATTAGGAATGGGCTTCTATGAAGAGGGTATGGAGCTACAAGAAATGCGTCAAATATTAGATGCCCTAAATCAGTCGGTGACTGATGGAGAAACTCAATTTTTGGACGATGACATGGAGAGGGCAATAAGGGTAAGGTATTCAAAAATAAATAAATATTTTTTTTAATTTATGCCCCTTCATTTATTGCGAATTCATATGCAGGAAAGTGAAATGGATTTCATGCCAGCTAATAATGGTGGATTGTGGAACTCAACAATGTTGAGGTAGGAATGAAATAAATACATTAACTCAGTTATTCCCTAAAAACCCAATACCTACACGACAAAGGGCTGTTAAATGTTTCTAACAACTGTACTGCTAAAACGAATACAAATTTATTTTGTAATAGTTTGGAATTTTATTTCTCGTTTACATATTTGTCATTTTTCAGAACACAAGTCACCTCTTCTCCGTGCAGTAGCCCCGATATACCATCACAACAAATTGTTGTCCACGCGGAGGTGCATCATCCCTTAGATTGGAGTCCACAATATCCGGAAGAAGAACGTTTGCGGCGTAAACGTTTAGCCTCAGAGACTGGAAGTCACAATGAGGCAATACAACCGTTTATAAAACGTATTAATCCAACTGGATGCTCTCCCACAAAACCCAAAGAAACGAATGAACCCAACAATAACAATGAAATGGTTAACCATTTAAATGCATCTAATAATTCTTCGCATGGACATATCGAAATTGTTGGGCCCGTATCGATGAGAGGACCTTGTAATGATTCTGGTGTCATCTCACCGCATGAGGTCAGCAATGCAACGCCATCCTCTTCTCCAGAAAATAACACCAATAGTGGTAACGAATCGACAATAAATGGCTCTTCATCGTCGACTAATAACAGTCACATCGTATTGGGTCCAATATCAGCACGTCGTCCCATCAATGATTCCGGAGTAATGGTAAATAATGAACCTGAGAATCATAATGCATCGGAATCGTCTTGGAATTTTAATGATAGTTCCAATAGTGTGCGTGCATATTTTCAAAGTAATGTTTCAATGCAATTACGAAATGTTTACGCCACCGACGACGATGATGATTTGGAACATTCCGAGCCGTCAATGTAATTGGCGAATTTGTTTTAAATAATTTTATGCATACATATACATATATTTATTACAATTGTTATCGTTTATATAAAGATTGAAGTGAAATATTAAAATTTACATTCTGTTTTCTTAATTAATTTTTTTAAGATGATGATGATGATTTTAAAGCTGATGCTGGTTTACATCATATAACATCAGGATTAAATTTTTAGAGATTCAATACTTACTTACCATTATATCTTCAATACTTACCCAGAAAATTCTTTAATTTAAAAATATATCAAAATTTTTTGACGAAAAAATTATAGATACATATTTCTGAAAGTTCTAATACTAATAATAATACAAGGTATTTTTAATTTAAATAAATATATATTTTTATTTAATCTTTTATAAACATATAAACATCCATTTTTCATAATTCACACGAAACTAATCTCTTAATATAAATAACCCTTCATTTAGAGTGTTTGCATTCTCATGAGAGAGGAAATCAAAACAGCTGATTAGAAATAAACAATTCCCTTTGATGCTGTTTGGCTTGTAAACAAACAACGTTTTTCAAGAACTATAAAAAATTAAAATTCATTTATTTACAATTTTCTTCAAAAATGTTATTCGACGAAAGATTAGTTGAGCTTGTCGAGAAGAATGATATACTATACAATAGAAACAATAAATGTTACTTGAGTATTTCATTAAAGAAAAAGGTATGGGAGAATATTGCCAAACAAATGCGGGCGTCAGGTAAGCAGATTTTAGATGACTCCACATTATACCTTTCTTATATTTGGCTTATTAAACGACTAATTCAAACTATTTGCTTTAGAGGAGGACGTGGTAAAACGCTATCGTGAGCTGCGGGATCGCTATGTACGCTCCAAACGCCTGGAGATGTTAAGTGGTGAAAAACAGCCCGTTGCTCCCATTGTTCAGCGCTTGAACTTTCTGGCGCCACACATATTTAATAAAAAGTGAGTTATTTAAGAACCTTTCTACAAAATTTGACTTATTACTTTACTTACAGAAGTAACGCAAAAGTGACATGGAAGGGAGATGTCCCAGTTACAACACCTGCACTACAAAGATCACAAGAAACCTCAAAATTGCCAATGTGTGAAGAAACATCAAATAGTTTATTTGACACATCCTGTGCTTCATCAAATTCCGGTATATTTAAAAAGAACCCCAATAGAAGTAATATAAAGCAGGAACCACATTGGAATGATTTAGATGAGCTGACACAAAGTGACTGTGAAAGTGATAATGATATTTCAAACAATACTGAATCCGATGATGAAGCGTTTCATCAGGCAGTAAATACATTTAAGGACCTTTGTAAAACCCAAGAAAAATTAAACGATACGAATTGTGCTATTGACGGTTTCATCCACATGATAATGTCCATCATTGAGAATATGAGTCCGGCGAAACGCACCAAGGCTATGTTAAAAGTCATAGAAATTTTAATGAAAATAAAACAGGAAAATGATTGAAATAAGAGCAACTCTAGCAAGGAGCGAAAAAAATCACGGAATAATAGTTTGGAGAACTAGAACATTTGAAAACAAAAAAAACTTTTATTACAAAAGAGAGATAGGTGAAAAAATCATCATTGAAAGTGCAATAACAGCATTGTGTTTAAAGTCAAAGAAGTAGTCCAGAAGTAGAATGTAACTGCTTTCAAAATACGTCAATTTGGATGAAAAATTCATGATTTTTACAAAGACGTTATGTGGATATAAAGCATTCTCTTTCGTGGTTTGACATTGTCTTCTACAAAAGTCCTTGGAGATGGGTAAAACGCATTTGTTAAAATTATTTTCAGAAATGTGTGAAGCAATAGAAAATCCGCTTGCACTTATCAGAAAAATCAGATGTTGAAATGCGAAAGAAATGGAAAGACCCTTTCTTGAATAGGTGAAGTGCTTCAAAAGAAGCTGAGTAAGTAACTCTTCATTCTGAACTCATTGAACTTAATTTACCTGGGTTCGTGCGAACCATTACTGATCAATTGCATCGTTAGTGGCATAACAAAAGGGGAAGAATATATAACGTATAATATAATTTATTTCGAGACCCGTCTCGGTCATATAGAGTTATTGAAAGATTTTTCGTTAATTACAATAACTAAAGCCTCTTAAGCTTTCTTCACAGATAAGCACAGTTATATAGGAGCTAGTAAAAAAACATGGTCTAAAGCAGTCCCTTTGATTTGCAGACTTCGTTTTCTGTCTCCAAGGCCTAACTTTCCCCCTAATTAAACATAACCGTAGACTTTTATTAAAAGACATTTATTATATACATCATTCATGCCCTTCACGATAGAAATATTCCATTAATGTATTTCTCAAATCACTCGCTTCTGGACTAGATTCGCCAACATATTCCACAATAGATTCTAAATGTGAACGATATTGTATCGATTCAACGCTAACCCATGCGGTGCTTTCATCCACATTATGAGGAAGTTCAGCATTAACAGTTCCATCAGCATTATGCCATCGATCTCCACCATTTATCATTACAAAATTATACAAAACGATACATGCCATAACAATGGATTCACAGTTCAGAGGCGCCAAATCAAAGGTCGTTAGCAAAATTTTCCACATTGAACTCAACATTATAAATGTATTTTCTGTAACACTTTGCCCCTGTGATAGCCGATAATTGAAATACAATTCTTTGTCATTGGTAGTACTGCCTTCAAAGGGTCGCATCAAATTTGTTCTCAGCGGGAATGATGAATCTCCTATATAGTAATAGGGAAAATCTGTCGAAGCATCATCGCCCAATAGGCCATTTGGTGGCAAAGGTAATGTATTGTTAATAATACCTTTGGCAAACGTTGATTGATGAGATTCCACTGTAAAATAATTGGGAATATAAAACATATTTTAACCAAAATTTGTTTTAAGTTTTTTTTTACCTGTAACAGTGGCTGAGCGTATAATATGGTTCGCATCACATGCTGCCATTATAACCAAACTATTTATGTTTGTCAAATTTAATTCCTCTAATATAATTTTTCTTGGCTTCTTGAGGACAATATGTTTGCCATCAACAACACCAACGCTAAAATAAAGGAAGCCAAATGTTAAAAAAATAGAAAAAATATAAAATAGAGAATACCCACCAGTTTGGCAATTGCCTTGTGGCTTTAAATTCCTCTGCAATCTGAATGTATTCCTCAGAAGTGGGTTCCCTTAGGTAAATGGGACTGAGATTTTCATAAAGTATTTCACAAGTCTCCAACACCAAATTACGCACGGTTGTTTTGCCTAGTTTATAATGCTTTGCAATAACTTCAAAGGGTGTTCCATGGGCCAAGTATCTAGAAAAAGTAAAAAAAATAATAATGGAAAAAATTCGTCTAACTGCAAACTACTTACAAAAGCGTTATGGATAATCTCTCTTCTGGAAATACGTGCTGTGCTCGTTTACGCATTGCCTTAAACGTTAATTTTAGTAACTTTTCAAACAGATCCTTTTTCATGCGTGTCAATATCAGAAATTGTTCCTCATTATGCTTTTTCACCTCAAGAAAAACACGCCCAAAGAAACCTTCTTGATAACGATTTAGATTCTCGGGTCTAACTTTGAAAAGTCGAGTACGTGGCCTTTTCTCCTTGACCGTCTGGTCTTCGTCGTTATCATCAGTCTGGCCCCTTCTTCGGCGTCGACGCTGTCTCTTTTCAGGTTCTCGTTTTAGTAGTGTGTTATCTGGAGGGAACTCCTCGATTTCTTCTGCATTTACTTCATAGCAAATTTCAACATCATCCTGACAAAGATCATCATTAAATTCTTCAACAGATTCCAATAATACTTCATGCTCTTGGCCATCGGGGGGACATACATCGTAGTAAATCTCGTCACCATCGTCATGAATTTCTTGACACTCATATTTGGTTTCTTGCTCTTGTTCAGCGTTGTCAGTCTCCACAGCACCACCCAATACTACATGTCGTTGCTCGCCATTTACTTCAAAGGCTATGGCGTATTGATATTCTTCTTCATCTTCGACATAGGGATCAGCCACAACTTGTGGCTTTTCTTCATAGACCAATTGTCCATCTTGTAGAAACTCACCATCTTCCTCATCCGAAAGCCTTTCTGTTTCTCCCAATATTTCATTAAATTGTTCCTGTTCCTCTTGCGGATCAGTGGAATATGTTTTGTATTCTTCGTGGTTTATTTCTATAATTGGCGGCTGTGTTTGTTGGATCTTTTCGTCATGTTCCTTCTCCTTCTGAAAGTCATTTGCCAATTTAATTGCGGCATTAGTTGTTTGATGATGTTTTCTATTGACAATCTGTGTTGGGGCGGCAGCAATTGTCCTTGTTTCCTGTCGTTTTCTTTTAAGTTTTCGATACGATTTACAAAGTTTTAAAAAACTTAAAATTGCAAACAGATCTTCGACTTCGGTGTCCATTTTTTCCAAGAAGATTGTTTATTTAAGACGTTCCCAACGATAGAAGTAAGAAGACAAAAAGAAAGCCTCATAAAAAAAAAACTTAAAAACTAAAAGAAAGTAAAATCACTGAGTAAATCTGTTGTTTACGAATGTGTGTAATGCATAACAGTGAAGAATGAAACATGAGGAAAACGCACTGATTTCGCTCATTAAATGAGCCGAGGGACTAGCCTCGAAAGTGGTGTAAAAACGACTTCTTCACGTATCATGATATTGTTCCATTAACAGTGACGTAAATTGATCGACAAATGGCAAGTTTTAGGGAAATTTCTACGAAAAATATAAAAGAACGCAAAACACAAGTTATAAACGATGGTAGTCAAATAAATATTTTATTTGCATTTAACAAATTATAAGCAAACAAAAGACAAAGGTATCTGTAATAATTAAAAAAATATGCATGGACGGGGTACAATAAAAAGTAATAGGTATGTGCAGCGTCGGTAAGGCTGGAAATACATAAAGAGCATATTTGGCTGGCTTAAGTCATCGGCTGGCTTCTTCGTAAATGAACAAAGGAGTTTTAGGTTGACCTAGTTCGATTTTGGCCCTAGGCTCCTTTGTTCATTTCCGAAGAAGCCAGCCGATGACTTAAGCCAGCCAAATAAGCGCTTTATGTATTCCCAGCTTAAATGCTTCATTCAGAGACTTTTGGACTATTGTGTTCATCCTAGGAAGAATAAAATTGTTGGTGATATGAGAGAGAGGGAAGAATACTTTAGAGAAAAAAGAATAGTTATCTGGGTGGTCTGCATACACAGGAAATGATTTTAGCAAAATTATTAATGATGATGCGATCTATGGCTTAAGCTGGAAAAACATAAAGCGCTTATTTGGCTGGCTTAAGTCATCGGCTGGCTTCTTCGGAAATGAACAAAGGAGCCTAGGGCCAAAATCGAACTAGGTCAACCTAAACCTCCTTTGTTCATTTCCGAAGAAGCCAGCCGATGACTTAAGCCAGCCAGATAAGCGCTTTATGTATTTCCAGCTTTAGGCATTAGTATTTGACAGATCACGTGGGATTTCAGACATGGTGTCAAAGAGAAAGATGCTCAGTATGCTTTGACATTTCATCATGAATAGACTTACTAACGAGCAACGCTTGCAAATCATTGAATTTTATTACCAAAATCAGTGTTCGGTTCGAAATGTGTTTCGCGCTTTACGTCCGATTTATGGTCTACATAATCGACCAAGTGAGCAAACAATTAATGCGATTGTGACCAAGTTTCGCACTCAGTTTACTTTATTGGACATTAAACCAACCACACGAATGCGTACAGTGCGTACAGAAGAGAATAATGCGTCTGTTTCTGAGAGTGTTGCTGAAGACCGTGAAATGTCGATTCGTCGCCGTTCGCAGCAATTGAGTTTGTGTTATTCGACCACATGGAAGATTTTACGCAAAGATCTTAGTGTAAAACCGTATAAAATACAGCTCGTGCAAGAACTGAAGCCGAACGATCTGCCACAACGTCGAATTTTCAGTGAATGGGCCCTAGAAAAGTTGGCAGAAAATCCGCTTTTTTATCGACAAATTTTGTTCAGCGGTGAGACTTATTTCTGGTTGAATGGCTACGTAAATAAGCAAAATTGCCACATTTGGAGTGAAGAGCAACCAGAAGCCGTTCAAGAACTGCCCATGCATCCCGAAAAATGCACTGTTTGGTGTGGTTTGTACGCTGGTGGAATCATTGGACCGTATTTTTTCAAAGATGCTGTTGGACGCAACGTTACGGTGAATGGCGATCGCTATCGTTCGATGCTAACAAACTTTTTGTTGCCAAAAATGGAAGAACTGAACTTGGTTGACATGTGGTTTCAACAAGATGGCGCTACATGCCACACAGCTCGCGATTCTATGGCCATTTTGAGGGAAAACTTCGGAGAACAATTCATCTCAAGAAATGGACCGGTAAGTTGGCCACCAAGATCATGCGATTTGACGCCTTTAGACTATTTTTTGTGGGGCTACGTCAAGTCTAAAGTCTACAGAAATAAGCCAGCAACTATTCCAGCTTTGGAAGACAACATTTCCGAAGAAATTCGGGCTATTCCGGCCGAAATGCTCGAAAAAGTTGCCCAAAATTGGACTTTCCGAATGGACCACCTAAGACGCAGCCGCGGTCAACATTTAAATGAAATTATCTTCAAAAAGTAAATGTCATGGACCAATCTAACGTTTCAAATAAAGAACCGATGAGATTTTGCAAATCTTAACAAATCACTCTTTAGGTGTTCAATTTCACATAGCCTACTTGAACTTTACACAGAGTCTACAGGGTGAGATGAAAAAACTGCAACCGACTTCATACTGATGTCATTTCTAAGCCACTCTTCCGACAGCTGTTCAAATTTTTCCAGTGATGGCTCATTATATTGCTTACAAGCGTACAAAAGCATTTTTGTGAGATTTTTCCAGAAAAAATGTTTCTTTTGATGTAATGCAAGCGTGATTTCTTTATATTTAGCTGGAAAACCACAAGTGGCTATCGTTAGAGCACTCCAGAATTTAAATGTGAGTATATCTTTTACAGTGATACTGGCAGCGTAGTTCGATGTCAAGGAAATGGGCGGAAGAAAACAGCAACATCAACAGAAATGGTTCGAAAAGTAAAGAAGGAACTTGATCGGAACCCGCGTCACAGTAGCCGAAAAATGGCTCGTGAGCTGAGCATATCGCAATATACCATTCGCCAAATATTGAAAAATGAGCTTACCCCGATTGAAATTCCTAAAAGTGCAAGAACTTACACCGCAACAGAAAGAAAATAGACTCAAAAGAGCTAAACAGTTACTTCGCTTGGCCGAAAGTGGTGAACTGCCGAATTTGGTTTTCTCCGATGAGAAAACATTCGTTGTCCAGCCGTTTGTAAACAAACAAAATGATCGTGTTTATTTGCCAAAGGTCAGCTGAAAATGTGCACCTTCGGTTGGACACCAAACTCAAGCGCCGCCAAGGCCGATGGTCGCTCTAAGCTCGTATTAATCGACCGTGGCATCAGAATAATATAGCGAAAATATTTCGAGGGTTAATAAAGCCTTTGGCACGCGAACATTTTGGCCGCAGACCTTGGACATTCCAACGGGACTCATCACCATCGCACTCAGCATGCGCCGCCCAAGAATGGTTACAAAATGAGATTCCTCGCTTGCTTCTAGCGCACAATGATTACCGAAATCTCCGCATACCAATCTGTTGGACTATTTTGTCTGGAGTAGTTTGAAAAACAAGGTTGACCGGGAATAGACCAAAATACCGCAGAGCAACATTCGGACAGCGTGTGGCGGTTTCATTGGCCGTTTGAAGGCCATAATTCGTGACCAATTCGAATAAATTTAAATTTTTTTTAAAATTTGATACCATTTCCGATATTTTTGCTTTTATTCAATAAAATATAAAAAATTTAAAAATTATGGCATTTGACATTGTTGCAGTTTTTTATCTCACCCTGTACTGTAATCAGGAATATTGTTAACCCATCTTGAGGTCAGAAATCTGATACTGCAGATGTAGATGGGCATACCTTTTTAAAAGTACAAGATTAGACATTAAAATTATATTATTAACAAGTTGTTTTCTTTTATTTACATATCATTATTTATAACTTAACTTATTTCAAAAACTTCATTCGACGTTTCAACCGCCGATCCATCGTGATAGAAATAATCAGCTAATGCGGATCTTAACTCGAGGGCACTGTTAATAGAATCATTGCCAAATTTCGATATAGCTTGCATAGTAGGATGAAATTGTACATTTTCTGCATTAATCCACGCTGTATTCTCATCATAGTTGTGTGACATTTCAAGATTAATTGTACCATCCGAATTATACCATCGATTATCTTCATGTTGCATTATAAAATTATACAAAACAATGCTAGCCAATACAATAGATTCGCAATTTATGGGAGCTATATCGAATGTGGTAAGCAGCACTTTCCACATTGATGTTAGCATGTGAAAGGCATTCTCCATTACTGTATGGCCAAGTGATAACTTGTAGTTGAAGAAAATCTCTTTATCATCTAATGTTGTGGAATCAAAAGGGACCATTACATTTGATTTGATTGAAAATGTTGAATCGCCAATAAAATAGTAGGGGAAATCCTGGGATGAATTCTCGTCCAGGGGGCCATTTGGAGGTAAGGGCAATGTGTTATTCATTATTCCCTTGGTAAATGTTGATTGATGAGGTTCCACTGGAAATATAAGAAACTAATTTTAGAGAAGTTCTAAACAAGGATAATATAATTTTACCTGTAACTGTGGCCGAACGAAATACATGTTTGGCATCACATGCTGCCATTATAACCAGGCTATTAAGTGACGTTAGATTATATTGCTCCAATATTGTGCTTCTTGGTTTCTTTATGTTAATGTGTCTACCTCCGATTACTCCAACACTGTAGACATGATTTGGAAAATAAAATCTTTACAACGGAATGGGAAAAAGTCATTCGGCATTGACTTACCAATTAGGCAGTTTCCAAAGAGCATTAAAACCTTGAGCAATTTTTAAATATTCTTCCGAGGTTGGTTCTTTCAGGTACATTGATCCCAAAAACCCATTGATGACCTCACATGTTTCCAGAATGGCACAACGTATTGTTGTCTTTCCCAATTTATAGTGTTTGGCAATCACGTCCATGGGTGTACCATGAGCCAAATGTCTGTAGGATGAGAAAGGCATTTACATAATATTAGAATATCCTAGATCTTATCAGATTTTCATTAATCAAAATTCCACTTACATCAGTGTGAATGATAGTTTCTCCTCTGGGAATATATTCACCTTAAGCCGATTAAGAGATTTAAACATAATTTTCACCAGTTTATCGAATGTTGTCCTTTTCATTCGTGTTAGCAATTGGAATTGTTCTTCATTATCGGTTTTCAATTTGACAAAAACTCTTCTGAAGAAACCCTCTTGCTGGCGATTTAGATTTTCCGGATTAGCTCTACAGGTTCTTATGCGCGGTTTCTTTTCTTTGGGTTGTAATTCCTCCTCAAATTCGCCGTTTGGCCCACGTTTTCGGCGACGGCGACGGCGCCGTTTCTTTCTTGTTACATCTTGCTCAATATCCTCTTGGCAGGCTATATTTTCTTCTTGACAGCCTATATCTTCTTCTATATGATCGTTGGCATCTATTTCATAAGCAATTTCACCATGTTCATTATACACATTCTCATTTATCTCCCCGGCGCTTTCAATTATATATTCCTGTCCCTCGGAGCACAACTCGTAACGTACCTCGTTAGCTTCTTTATCACCTTGAAATTCATATTTGGCATTTGCATCGACACCAGTCTCCACAATAATATGCTCTCCGTTCACTTCATACGAAATTTCATATTGGCAATTTTGTTCCACACTATATGGACCATTGTTCTCCACCATAGTTTCTGGAAGTGTAGTTGGTTTTTGCTCTACCGTAATAGTATTTTGAACTGCTGTTGTTGCTGGTTTGTCTTCAACGGAAGACGTTAGAAATTCAGTTTCATTGTATTGAGCGACTTCCTCTGCATCACTGTGCTTATCATCGACTAGTTGTATAATTGACTCATAAAATTCCTCATCATCTTTTTGGGGAGTACTGGGAATTGCCTTTAAATCTTGTCCAGCTTTTGTTATATCTTTATTGTACGTTCGTGATTCCTGGGTTGTTGGTAGTACCGGTGATGGAACCTTGTTGGAATTTTCTTGCCGGGAAATTTTGATGTTTTGATCTTTCTTCTCAGCGCACTGTTTGAGATATATTGATTTGATCTTTTTTGCTTTGAGTCTTTTGTACATTTTATAGAGTTTCATAAAACTAAGTAAAATAAATAAATCATCGGCTCCCTCTTCCATTTTGTATGTTTTATTTATTAAAATTTAGAAACTAAATTTGCGTTTTATTTATTTTTGGTTTGTTTATATTGTTGTCGTGTAAATACGGCTTCCACCAGCCATATGCAATCACCAATTCAAAGTCGTTGGCGTATAACGTAATTATACACTTCACAATAAAAAGGAGCTATATTAATGTAAAATCAAATCAAATTGTATATAATTTGGAATGAGTCTGACAGAAGCGGGCATAGCTTCGGGACTGTATTTCTGTAGTTTTACGAAGCTGTTCTACGTCCTTATTGTACCATGGCCCATGGTAGAAAAATATAGGTAGATGCATGGTACAATGATATCAAGGTAGGGCTATGATACCATATGATTTCACTTTTTTTATTTTCTTGGCTTAATATGTCATCTTTATTTGTTTATGTATGTGTTTTCTTTTCAATAACAAAAAAATTGTTCAGAAAACATTCAAATTCGATGATTTCAAAATGTTTATTTCATCATATGCATCGACAAAATCTAGAGTTTTTATAGCGAAATAATCCTTTAGAGATATATAGAACCTGGTTTTGAAAAGAAGTGTTGACCTTTCATTCAGTTTTCGCAGTTTTCAATTATTTATTCAAAATAAATGCAACAAGTTGTTTGATTTTGTTATTGTTTTGATACTATTTCTGACATTACAAGCCAAACAGGTAGACCTCTATACTTGCAATTTTTTCAAAGTTGACCTACCTTCTCTTCATTGTACCATGGGTAGATGCATGGTACAATGAAGAGAAGGTAGGTCAACTTTGAAAAAATTGCAAGTATAGAAGTCTACCTGTTTGGCTTGTAATGTCAGAAATAGTATCAAAACCATAACAAAATCAAGCAACTTGTTGCATTTATTTTGAATAAATAATTGAAAACCGCGAAAACTGAATGAAAGGTCAACACTTCTTTTCAAAACCATGTTCTATATATCTCTAAAGGATTATTTCGCTACAAAAACTCTAGATTTTGTCGATGCATACGATGAAATAAACATTTTGAAAACATCCGAATTGAATGTTTTCTGAACAATGTTTTTGTTATCGAAAAGAAAACACATACATAAACAAATAAAGATGACATTTTAAGCCAAGAAAATAAAAAAATTGAAATCATATGGTATCATAGCCCTACCTTGATATCATTGTACCATGGGTAGATGCATCAACGTTTGAGAAGATTAATATGTAAAAATTTTCAAAATGTTTTGTCAAAAATAAGTGGAAAGGTACTTCTAAGCCGTAATTGGCACACATACACATTATGCGATTTACAGAGCAACGTCTTTTAGAAAAAAGAATTGTCATGTAAACCTTTCAAATCTGATGTAAACATACTATAACATAATCTGATGTAAACATACTATAACATCTTTGTAAGTAAAAATTCCCCTAATGAACCAAAGGAACTAATATGAACTAACCTTTTGCATCTAGATCCTCTCGTTCCATTTAATGAACAGAATTGTTTTGCTTCAAAGGTATCCTCAACCAGTTGAGATATTTTGCCTCAAATAAAAAGGGAAAACAGCCACTAAAGTATAGCTTGGAAATGTATGACGACGCAAAATTAATTGAACTATTAAAAGCCAATGATGTGCTTTACAACAGAGATCATCCCCTGGCGAAAACCGAGCATAAGAAAGTTGTTTGGGAAGAGATTGCAGAAGAGATGGGTTTACCCGGTAAGTTTAATGACAAAAAAAAACCCCAAAAGATGTTGATTTAACACAATAATTTTGACTATTACAGTTGATCGAGTCATAAAACGTTATCGTGGTCTGCGGGATCGCTTTGTTCGATATAAACGTTCGTTACTAACAAAAGGACCTGAAAATAACTACGATCATGCCACTATGGAAAAAATGGAGTTCCTAACACCATTTATATACATCAAGTAAGTAATGTGAACATAAAATTATGATCCCAGTGCTCTTACTTATCTTTATAATTACAGATCAAATGGTGGCAAAATTACCTGGGAAGACTCCGAAACCAGTTTATGTATTTCCTCAGATCCGCTCAAAATGCGAACATCGACAATGGATTATGACATATCAGATGAAGATAATTACAATGAAACAAGATCACCTAAGCGTCGTTCACGATCAAAACGTAAAAAAAGAGAAGAATCTCCATTTCATAGCCAAGATGATGAGGAATACATTCCACCTGCTAAAAATCGAAGGACAAAAGAGGAAAAAGCAAATAAAACGAAATCGATTGGTCGTCCTGCAAAGAAAACAGCAACAACAACAGATTATACAGAGCTTCATAGTGTCGCAAGATTCGATTCTTCGGATGACATTGACTATAACGAGGATTCTGATGATGCATTCTGTGATGCTGTTAAAAGTTTTGTCACACTATGCCAATCAGGCGAAAAGTTAAAAGAAAATAAAGCTTTACATGGATTTTGCCAAATGATTATAGCAACAATATCCGAAATGAGCATACCGAAACAATCCAAAGCAATGACACTAGTAACACAGGCAGTAATGGAAATGAAAATGGAAGATTTATGTTAAAAATGAATCGTAGTTATATAATACATGTAGATAATAGGAAATATGTAGATTTCTCATATTTGAATGCAGCATAAATAAAGTCGCATGTTAGGCCCGTAGTTTAGTTCGGATTGTTTTTTTTTAATTTTGTAGCACTAGAAGTTTACATTCACCCAATATGATACTTTAATTTGATAAGTAATGAAGTATTATGTCCTGACCGAAACCAAACACAAAATGTATTTTACAACAATTAGTAGGCGTGATGAATATCGACCTATGTATAGGTGAAAGTCCTACCGTACCCAATAAACATTTAATTGAAAATATTGTAACGGTGTATTTTTTTATCAATTGGAAAGGATCTCATTAAGTACATAGAAGCATCCACTCGAAATATGTATATTGTTGCAATCAGAAGAATAAAATCGACCTGTGACGAACATTTCGGGGCTGAGTTATACATATAAAAATAAAGTACATAATTTTAAAATATGAATTATTCCTATAAAATTGTCTGCATTCCTCATTAATTTTCATTCATGTCGGGTAAATATGAAAATTTATTTAAAATAATGCATGGCTAGATAATGTATATATGCAAGGGGTTTATATTATTTAAAAAAAAAAACAACATAGTACAAATAAGGACATCATATCAAATTAAATGTTTTTAATATCCTTATTACAAAGTCGAAGGAATATTATAGGAAAAACCTTGAACATGTTCACTATAAATTTAAATTATAGTTGTTTTTATTGAAAACAGTATTCATATGTGTCTAATTACTTTTAATTCAAAGCTTAATCAAGAAAAAAAGTACAGCAAAAACAATTTAATAATTTGCATCCTTCAGAATACAATATCTATTTGAGTCTATTTTATAAAAATAATGACGTTAACATTCCCTATTCTTCTGGTTCCATTTTAATTTTTAGCACAGCTTCGGTAACACACAACATCGCTTTGGTCTGTTTAGTTTCACTCATATCGGCTAGTGTAGATATGATCATTTGACGAAAACCTTGCAGGGCACCATCCTTTTGGCGTTCTTCTCTTGCCTTGCACACTCGATGAAAACTTTGAATTGCCTCACTAAACTCCTCATCAATATTTCTTAAACTCGAGTTAGTAGATTTTTTACCCGTTTGAAGTGATTTGGTTTCCGATTTTCTTTTGAGGCGATTAGATGTGCCATTATCATTGTTAATTACAATGGTAGATGCCTTTTTGTCTTCACAGGATTTTTCATGTAGGGAAATTGGAATTTCTGCAACTGTTTCTAATTCATCTTCACATTGCAATGGATCCATTGAATCTTCATCGCTATCGCTTCGTAGCGACACTTTTTGTTGGGGTGTACTACATTGGGCTCGTGTTCTCCTAGTTCTGAAAGAATAGTTGCATATTTAAGAAAGATGTGTTTGTAACTTTAATCGATTAGGTTGTTTTCACTTACGTATTATCACAGGGGGAACTTGAATCCATATCACTTGGCACCCTTACATATTGTTTTCGTCTCATTCTGCAAAGATGGCCCACAAATTATTTATAAACAAATGTATGAGTGTACATGATATACTTACTTTCTGCTAAATATGTGGGGATTAAGAAATTCCATTTTATCCATTACGGGTAGATAACATCTTGCCTCGCCGGTGCTTTCCAATAGACGCTTATAACGTGTATAACGATCTCGCAGATTGTGATAACGTCTTATAATAAGTTGGACATCTATTGCAAAGTAAAACTAAATTACATAGTCTTAAATTCTTAAGACATTTGTTCCATTTATTACCCGGTATATCTAATTCTTCGGCTATTTCGGCATAAGCCTCCTCCTTCTTATTAACATCCTTATAGTATGGATGAAATCGATTGTAGAGTACATCACGCTCTTCCACCAGCTTCATTAATTTGTCATCATCCATAACGGTTTCGAGTCAGTAGTTTATTTGAATTGGAAACGTAATGAAATGCGCCAAAATCTCTCTTTATTACCTTACAAACAACGTTACAGTAATCAAATTATTACTTTTTGTTACAGTAAAACTAAATTTGTATCTTTTGCCAGCAACCACAGACGCTTCGTGCGTTGCTTTATTTATGTATAAGTATTTGTTTGTGCCTATCAGCTGTATGTTTACGGCGTCGATACGTTTATGTCGTGACATAAGTTCAAGTAGTGGCAATGTGGCCGCTACGTACTGTTGTACGGACGTATACCGTACAGTGACGTATTAATGAACGTACCGTTTAATATATGTAATAATGGTTAACTAATCACATACAGCAACAAAGGACACAAATAGAAGCGCTATTTGCTCAAAAAGAAGAATCGTCTTCTAGGGAATCCAGGACTTCTTAAAAATATTCTTAATTAATTACCCAAGTGCAATGGATGATATCATATGTTGTTCTGTTGCAGAACCCTTCAAGTTAAAAAGTTACAAGCGAGGCCTCTCAGCCCTAATGATACCAAAAGAGTATTGCTTGGCGCTTGATGACGGCAATGTATACAAACGGATCTAAGAGGAAAGAAGTCCTCCGATCAACATCACGTTAATTTAAGATTTGCGAGCTAGTGCAAGAGATTGTAAATGACACAACAGTCCCATGGTTATATGTAGCAATCAAACGACACTCAGATCGTCCACCAAAAACCAAAAAGGCATTAATGTCCGCAAAACGGCATTACTAATGGCATGTAACTTCGTTAATTTTGTGATATTTTCATATGGGGTGTTTTTTTCTTCACATTTAATGGAACGAATTAGCTAGGAGATTCTTAGTCAACTGATGAGACTGCCAAGTAAAAAATTTGCTACTGCTTTGATCGTTTTAAAAGGGCCTATTTCAAAAGGGATGGTTGCAGGGAGCAATTGGCGACCAGATGATAGGTTCCAGGGCAGTCTGGCAATCGAACTGGCGACGATGGCAAGTAATATATAGAGCTTTACTACCAGTCACTGTAGGATCAAATCTCTAACGTAAAAACAAAAAGACCTTAGTCTACACCACTGCCGACTTTGTGAATAAAAGGAGAAGCACTTCAACTCTGCAGGTGCCATACGTGTTAAGATTTAGATGGGTTCGACACTGCATAGAAAGGTAGTTAAATAAGCTTTTAAGGAAATAAGGAAATTAGTGCAGGATAGAAACTGAACATTTTTCATTGCTAGAACATCATTTGCATCTTATAGTTATATATTGGAGGTATAGATACAATTATTTCTGAATATGAGTTATATAATTTTACATTGGAGCAAACATTGGTGCTTCTGCATTTCTATAGGCCTATGTCGCTGGAGAACATTGCCTCCAGATACATTAAGTTATTTCAACATTTTTGGTGAATAATTTTTTCCTGTCACACCTGCTTTGCGCTAAATAAAACTTGTTGAATGCCAATTAAATTGAAAACTAAATTTCATTAAATTAAATGAAATAATCAACACAATGTTCCTTATAGAATATCAAACAATCTTACTAAGTAATAATTATAAACTACGTCAATTCATTATAATGTTTATGCTTTCTTCAATCTTCTTCCTCCATTCGGATGCGCATAACCAACTCCGTAACACGCATCATTGCTTTGGTTTGTTTGCTGGCACTCATGCCGGCTATGGTCGCCATAATCATTTGACCAAAACCATGTAAGGCCTCATTTTCTTGTCTTTCTTCACGGGCCCGGCACATTTTCTTAAATGTGCCCAATGCCTCACGAAATGCTTCATCAGCCTCTGTATTATTGTTATTACTGTGGGTATTTGTTGGACTATCGCGGGTGCTAGGGCCGGCATAAGAAGTGTTGGCCTTTCGTTTGACACCAGAACTCGTTTGATTTGGTCGCTCTGGTGACGATGAATACTGCATTTCCATGTAAGCGTCCGATTCATCGGGTACTGGTGATATTGAAGAGACTATGACTTGATTCGATGATGTATTGCTCTCTTCTTTGGTTGGGCCAGTCCAGGTAACTTTTTCACCATTTGTACTGAAATTATACTGCTATGTAAGGACTTTTTCAAATAAGTTAAAATGATTTCAACTTACTTTTTAACAAATACATGTGGTGTCAGGAATTCCATTCTATCCACAATGGGTGAGCGATATTTATTTTCCGAGCCAGTTAGCATCTCAACACGTTTATAGCGTACAAATCGATCCCTTAGGACTCGATAGCGTTTAACCAAGTCATCCACTATAAATTGAAGAGAAACCAACTATTAGTGACAGTAGAATATCCAAATTTTAGTTAAAATATCTTACCCGGTGTACCCATTTCGGCTGCAATTTTATTCCACACTTTCCTCTTTCTTTCATAGCTGTGGTTGTACGGGTGTGCCTTGTTGTAAATAATATCATTGGCCTCTACCAAATCCAATAACCTATCGTCATTCATGCCGTCAAAATACATCCGACTTGTTTTTAATTTTATTTATCGTTATTATTTTTTCTTGGATTATTTCAAAGCGCCAGCAACCAAGTATCCTAGAACGTTTTTACTAACCCACCAAAGTGGTTTTGCTTTGGTACAGTTCAACAGCAAAATCCAAACAGTATATTTTGTATAGAAATTCAGAAAGACGCTACGTCTGGTCTAATTATCTACACACACACGATGCTAGTAATCGTTTCATCACCATTGAAAGAAGTTTGCTTCACGACAGATACGTAATGCAGTGCCATTGTTTGAACGAGTATGGGTACTTGTTATTCACTGTATCGTAGCGTATGGCGTGTATACAAATTGTAAATAGTGATTTTTTAGGAAAGGAAAAGTGATATTACAGTAACGAAAAGTCTTCGAAAAAGAAAAAAAAAATAATTTATAAAAATGCATGAAATCATTCCTGAATTGATAGTATGGTCAATATAATCTAATATTTGAAGATTAAATCATGCAAATGTTGATTGCGACTGCAACCCAAATTGTCTATACGCTTAGTAAAATTTTGGTATTCTCTTTTCAATATTTCGGTCGGTATCTTATACTAATAAATGATTCAATGTTGTTTTCAAATTCGTCGATTGAAGCGGGCTCGTATTTGTCTAGACGCCAATTGACTAGTCCCGAACGTGAAATATAATGTTCATATATATAAATGAATGTTCTCGTCTCTCAAAAAATTAATTTTTATGCCATGTGGGAACGTTTTGCTTTAACCACATATCATTCAAGCCAAGCTCTTGCATTTCGGGCCAGAAGAATTAGATATCATCTTAAGTTAGAGCTTACACACCATTCACATTTACGTTACTATTCTGGAGTCAGCTTCTTTGAAGAAGTACGTTGCCGCACTTCCTGTACAAAGAAATTCACTCAGGGGAATTTGAACAATTCCGTCTTTTATTACATATATCCATTGTTTCCATGGTTAAATCTACCATTCATTTATCTTAAAATGTACTGTGGCTGGATTCTTGTTCTATGAAAATATGAAATTAAATATATTTCCTTTATAAAATTTTTCATTTGACGTTTAATTCCTTAATAAAAAATTTTTCATTTCACATTTTCATAGAAAAACAACATTTGTCGAAAGGGTCGCAATGCTTCATACGTCGTATCTATGTCGACGTAATGATTACTTGACACTTTAATTACTGCTATCAAACAAAGTGAATGGTTACTTTCGTATTTTCGTCTGTTTGTTGTTAGTTTGGAAAAATTATTTTCTAATTGTTAGAAAATTTAGAAAACTAAAGAAAATTTTGCCTACACCAGCATAAAACAAGTTTTGAAGACAATCATCCGCCAACACAACAAACTTTCGATATCATGAATTGGTCCACCGATGTGCAATTACAATTAATACAACAACAGATACATCAACACCTTATGGGGTCTGGCTACAATAACATGCCCTCACCGGAACAATATCAAAAACGAGCATCTGAACCAATTGTTGTGGATGAGAGTGACGATGAAGATGATGAACAGCAAAGAACCCTATTTATTGCCAATTTGGACGATAGGGTCACAGAAGAATTACTTTATGAAGTATTTCTGCAAGCGGGTCCCATAGAAAGAGCAAGGATACCAAAAGACAACAATGGAAGGCAAAGAACCTATGGCTTCATAACATACAATTCGAAGTGTACAGCCCCCTATGCGATGCATTTGTTTCAAGGTCTTTCACTTTATCGCAAAACATTAACTATTAAATATAAGGGACGTAATATGCTGCCTCCTTTGAAAACACCGGACTTTAGTAGTAGTGGCGGCAAGAGCAGCAACAGTCGCCAGAGTTATGATAATTCATCGCTGAGGAGTGGTAATTTTTCATCATATAATGATAATACACGTATGATGGACAGCAATACCTCTCCCTCTGGTTCTTCTAGGCATCAGGAACGTTTATCCAAACATGCCTCGAATCAAATGAGACCACATTCAAACTCAAGTCCATATCAACGCAATTCATCCAATAATCATGATAAATGGCGACAAAATAATAATAATGGCAGTCATAAAAATAGCAATAATCGCTATTCGGATTCCAGCAGTAATAGTAATCATAACAACAACAACAAGAGTGGCAATAATCGTTATTCCGATCATCGTGGTGGAAAATATCGTAGATAACAGTTTGATCGTCAAATTCATACATCTATATTAGATCAGAATTTTATATTCTTGTTATATTGTTTCAAATTATATCAAGAATATAAATTAGTTTGTATAATATAAGCATCCTATCATTAAACACTATTTAACAGAACAGTCAAAGAGATTTACATTTAAAGGAGTAGATTGTCCTGTTAGAACTTGATCATCTGTTCTCCAATATTTGATCAGAATTCATTGTCTTCTTATAATGTTTAAATTCTTTTAATAATATAAATTAGTTTGTACAGTCTGTCTTAACATTCAATTACTGTTTTGCTGAAACAGTCAGAGATTTACAATATCCGCGGGAATTGCCATAACCATTTTTGACTGTACCATGTGTTGTAATATAAAAATACATTTATGCAACCTAAATTGTATAATTACAATTTAAATTTTACATATTAACGAGTTGTAATTTTCACTTTTAGTTTGTTTTTAAATTAGAATCCAGACAAAATATTGATGAATAATTTTGTATCTCACTTTCAAGTAATTATACAACTTTTAAAATTCATAGGTAGTTTCTTAATTTACAATCGATGCATGTAGCTACGCAAAGAAAAGTAAAAAATAACTTTTTGTTCTCAATAAGTTTTTTTTTCTTTTTTATGAACAATTTATGAAAACCCACACACACCATTTTTGCTGCCAAAATCATAATTTAGTTTTTTTTGTTTGTAAGACATTACATGTAAACAATCATCACACAGATTTGTACGTAATTTAATTTAAGTATTTATATATAGAAATTTATTTTTTATTAAAATCACACACACAGTTTTTGATTTATAAACAATAATATGAACATTACGATTAAGAATACACCAAAAATCGGGTTTTTATTTCGAATGGTTTACGATTTTATGTTTTTTTATACCCTACAACACTGTGTTGGGGGTATTATAAGTTTGATTGGGCCAAAAATTAGGTAACACATTGAAATATTGGTTTCCCACATAGGAAAGTACATATGGATCATCCCATGGTACAATGAAGAGAAGGTAGGTCAACTTTGAAAAAATTGCAAGTATAGAGGTCTACCTGTCTGGCTTGTAATGTCAGAATTAGTATCAAAACAATAAAAAATCAAACAACTTGTTGCATTTATTTTGAATAAATAATTGAAAACCGCGATAACTGAAAGAAAGTTGAACACTTCTTTTCAAAATCATGTACTATATATCTATAAAGGATTAATTCGCTACAAAAACTCTAGATTTTGTCGATGCATACGTTGAAATAAACATTTTAAAAACACCCGAATTGGAATGTTTGCTGAACAATTTTTTTGTTATTGAAAAGAAAACACATACATAAATAAGTATAAATACAAATAAAGATGACATATTAAGCCAAGAAAATAAAAAATTTAAATCATATGGTATCATAGCCCTACCTTGATATCATTGTACCATGGATCATCCTATCTCACTCTACAGGTCGCAATTATGGCCCGATCTTCACGAAATTTAGAATGGAGGTTGGGCTAGGGCCAGAATAGAAGCTTATTGCTTTTAGAGATGATAGCATAATATTTAGGGGTTGAATGGACCAAAAACTGAAAAATTTCCTGATTTTGTTGTTGCTCTACAGGTCGAATCGAAGCGGAAGTTAGCATGGGGCTAGAGTTTAGGGCTGGGCAGAAGCCTTCCGATTTTGATTATTTAGTGGATGAAATAGACCATAACATTTGTGTTAAATAAAAGTCAAATTTTAGATTAAACCGCGAATATTTTTAATCCCGGCGAAATCACAAATAGACGAACAGGTCAATTCTGACCGTTATGTAGATGTCGATAGTAAATGTATCGGATATATATAACGAAATAGATACAATGTATATATACAAAGGAAGGGGATGTTAGCTAGAATGCTTATGTCTCAAGAATGACTGGACCGATTTTGACCAATTTTGTCAATTTAGAATGCCCTTTTGGCATAAAGAATAAAATCTTAAAAAAATTGCATAAAAAGATGCCAATAATGATATTAATATAGATTTTGTAGTATTTCGTTACATTTTTTTTTCGCATTTTTATCGCATGCAGTATATATTTTGTAATGTTTTGTCACCTTACAACATAGGTTGGGGTTATTATATACAGATTGCAATTATCGTCCGATCCTTACGAAAATGCTCACAAGGCTAGGGTTAGGGTTAGGCCTATTGTTTTCAAAGATGTCTGCAGTATATTTAGGGGTTAAAATGGACCAACAAATAAAAATGTTTCTGATTGTGCAGCCGTTATAAAGGTCACAAATAGAAACCAAAGGACACAGAATCTCGCATGAAGTAAGAGTTTAGGACAGCGGGTAGAATGGACCACTACTTTTGTGTGAAAAAATACCAGCATTACATACAGGCGACATCCGTCCATCCGTCTGTCTGTCTGGCAGGTGCGCACAATAACTCTCGAAGGGAGAATCCGATTTGGTCCAAACTTGGCACATAGTAATATTATTATCAAACTTAGATCAAGTTCGGAGATGGGCAATATCGGTCCACTACTTCTGATACCTCCCACACAAAATGTTAACATTTTCAAAGAAGATAATTTACTGCACAGAATGAGAAAGGATAATCCGATGGTATAACAAGCGTGGTATGACAAAATTTGGTGAAAATCGGTTGAGATATGGAAATATCTCCCAAATATATGTGTCATCCGATTTGACATTTAAATTCGCCAAAGCAATGATATCAGATATATCCTTAAAGTGGTTTTGTCAAATTTGGTAGAGATCATTCTAGTTGCATTACTTCCACCAAATATACACAGAGGTATAGCGAATTACATAGTTGGCCCGCCCAACTTTTGTCCTTTTTACTGGTGATCTTTTAGTTTTTTAAAATTTCCAGGAAAGTTAACAATAACTATTAGGGCAATTTATCTGCGGAGTTGATCTGTCGCTTTTCATTCAGCTACCCTTGTAGAGACAACAACGTTGCTATAGCCATGCTGCATATTATAAATCAATGAATGAATGGGAAACAATCTTAATCATCGTACCACGACTCCGATTTGAATATTTTCTTTAACTGAATATCCCTCTGTTTACTTGAGCCTTCGTTGACGATTTCATCAAATAAACGCGGGAAAACTTTGCTATCCCTATTTGTTTGAAGGTTTTTGGCGAACACATCGAATAGAAATCTTCAAGACACCGCTAATGAATACGGGAGTGGAAATATTCAGACTTGGAGATATATTAAAGGATGCCGATAAAATTGTTCCATATTCTCTATTTTTGAAAAAGGGAGAATTATTTGAAATGTAAGTACTTTAAAATAATATTTTGAACTTCTTAATGTAACATTGTTTTAATACCTTATTTTTATGTGGACTCATGAGGAAAATTCCAATGTTCCAAGATAAACCTAGCACGGTCACAATATTGTGAAAGGACTGTACAGTAGCTCTTAACAGAGAGAACTCTGCTTTCCCAATTTGTTTGAAGATTTTAGTGAAGATATCGAATAAGTGTTTTCAAGACGCCAGTGAATTTGTACGCCTTCAGCAGACCACTTTCCACTAAGATATCATAGATCCAAATAAAACAAAAACACAAAAGTTAATGTATATTTAAAGTATTTTTTATTCGAAATAGAACAATTCAAGCTACATACATAAGTTTCTTTATTTTTTCCGTTAGAACTATTGATATTTTTTTACATTTTGTTTTCAACTAAAAACCATTAATGATTAGATTATAGAAATGAGCATGACATCGTTGAAATGTTTTCAACAGTTCTATGAACGCTATATTTGATAATAATTTCTTCATGATTTATATTTAATTATAAATTACTAAATATTATGTATATACAAATGTTTTATGTGAAGAAGATCCCCTCTAACGTATACTCTTAAGGGTCTTCTCAATATTTCGATATGTTCTGGGTGGTATTATCTCGAGTAACATGCGCTGATAGTGGCCATGTTCGGAGAGCATTCTAAATAATGTTTTGGCATAGCTGCGTGTTTCCAAACTACCCTCGAGCAAAAGATTGGCGCAAGTGATGAAAAATTTCTCACGATGATCTCGGGGCATTGTATAGATTTTGTCCAAACCCAAACGTTCAGCCAGACGATTTAGTAGTTTTGCTGTGGTCGTACGAACCAAAGCATTCTGATGCTGGGCACCTCTTGATGTTAGTATGTTAAGAATTTTTCCGGGTGATAAATTATCACACATTGCCTCCAGGGCCCGGGTAGCATCGGCTCGAATAAAGCGATTAGTATCTGCAGTACGATGTAGTAGAGCACACACCAAGTCATCGCATTCCTGTTCCAGTATTCGTGATTTAATTGTAAATAGCTCGGTGGCAGCTTGACAAGCTGCCCTGGCCACTTGTGAGCGAAGATTGCGCACTGTGCGCGACAGCTGTATGCATACCATGTGCATTTGATTATCCAGATTGTCCGGATGATAACGCATTAGGCGTACCATGTTTTTTAGGCCAACCATTATTACTTCCCAATTGCTGGAATCTAATTGATCGAAGGTCTTCATTATGGCCTCTCGTGGCTTTTCGAATCTCTGCAATGTGGGTGGATACAATTCGGCCTGTACCACCTTTATCGATTGTTTAACCGGTGAAATACGGCGATGACTCTTTAGGAAATGTGTTGTCTTGGATTTCTGCTTCAGCGGGGTATGTTGTGGTTTAATAATAGCCCCTGTAACTGGTATGATTGTAGAACCCAAACTGCTATTCAGTTGAGCACTTGATTGGGAACTTGTTTCGGTGGTGTTGTCATTGAATTCATGTTTTGAGGCAGGTCGTTCGTACAGTGACTCCATAGATTTTATCATGGAATTTCTTCTCGACAATGCCTTGATTTCTTCTATTGTTGGGGACCTAGAACGACTGGTTTGAGGCCGTGAGATACCACCGCTATTAGGTTTGCTACCAGATACAATGGCTGTGTTATTGCTCATAACTTCCGAGTCATCAGTGGTCTCTTCAATCACTGGATCTGGATTTTTATCAACTTCATCTTCATCTGCTGTATCTTCAACCACCACAAAACTGGTATTATCTTCGATATCTTCTTCAATGGCCAATGACTTGGCCGATTGGGCTCTAGACAAGAGCGGTGGAGTATCACCTATCAAAGTTTTAATACTCTCCGTTTTACTGTGTAAACTGACCAAACTACCATTGCGTTGAAGGTTTTCATTTTTATCTTCGTTTTCTTCCTCCTCAACTGCAGTCTGGGGACCATGTGTATCTACCACATCCTCTAGCTGCAAAACTTCTTCACCAGTCCGCCATTTGCCCACTGATTCACTGTTAACATCCTTATCGTCCGGTGTACCACTCACCGTGGCCTCAACTGTTGTTAGGGGTGTAGTTAGAATTGGTGTGACTTTTCCATCGATGTCTTCTTCTTCTCGCCCTTCCTTAAGACTTTGAACATCTGCTTCAGTTGTGGCTGCAGTTCTTTCGGGAGTATCATTTTTCAAACTTCGACTTCCGGTACTTGATTGAGCTGATGCAGTCGATTTCAATGAATACGAACCGGACTTAACTGAACCACTTGGAGTTTTCTGCGATAGGCGTTCGATATCATTTTGATTATTACTTTGTTGTTCCTCTTCCATCTTCTGTGGGGTGCTGTTGTTGTTTTCGTTTTCATTGTCGTCCGTGGGTGATTGGGAAGATTTGGTACTGGAATAAAGCAAAAAATGGGTAAATTTAGTAAATTTTATGAAAACCAGAACTGAAAATTATATATTCGGCCTAGAACTATTTGACGTTTAATTTTTAAGTCTTGCCTAATAAAGATGGAGATCATATGTTTTTGCTGTTATTTGTTTGCCTCTATTTCAAAACGAGATTTAGACTTGCATTCTGGATTCTTATGACCAAAAATTTTTTTGAATAATTTGACTTGCTACAGTTTCACGTAAAGGTTTTTTTTTTGAAAATAAAAAAAAAATATTTTGAAAAAAAGACCTTACGTTTTTCGGCCGAGTAAAATTTAATTACTTCTATATTTTTAAAAGTGCACATTCTAAAAACTCTTTTTATTTGTTTATTTTTAATATATTCATGATGTATGTAGATTACGTTAAAAAAATTGTTTATCCTTTATACGCTTTCGTGCAAAATTAAAACAAGTCGTTAAAATGCAATTGTTGTAAAATTCTAAAAGATATTTGTGTTGGCAGTCGTTGTTGTTTTTTTGGCATAGCTATAAATCTTATTGTCTTTATTGTAAAACAACTGATGTAAATCTACTAATGTACATGACGATGTGGGTCATTCACATTGAAATAGTGAAAATATTTTGCGTGACAAGTCCGGCTTTACTTCTTATCGTCATTGTACTCCACAGGTCATATATTTTCAATATCAACAAAACTGGAAGAAATTGTGCCTGAATTTAAAATATTGGAGTTATACCAAAAGGAAAATTTTTCTGAAGGAAATTTTAAAATCGAAATAACATTAAAGCAAGTTTTTTGTTTGAAAAATCTCAGTGTTTTTTTTTCTGAAGGAAATTTTAAAATCGAAATAACAATTAATAGCAAGTTTTTTTTGAAAAATCTCAGTGTTTTGAAAAAAAAACTTGCTATTAATTGTTATTTCGTTTTTAAAATTTCCTTCAGAAAAAATTTCGATTTCGGTTTACTTTTTGGTATAACTCAAATCACCAAATTGACCCTTTGGTGACTATGCATATGTCCTATGTTATTCAGCAGAAATCAACGAATATTTGGTTGATGTGATATAGAGACTCCAACTCCAAGACAATGTATGTCCAATCCTCAAAAACACTATTTAAAATCAGTAAGGAAAAGTCAAAAGTCGGGTGGGGCCGACTATATGATACCCTACACCACTATGCATATTTAGTAGAGCCCCCATAACAAAAGATTTATTTGAAGTAAATCATACCACTTATCAACATTTGGTTTTAGAGCAGTTATAGTTTGGTTTCAGAGGGAACTAATAATATACTCTGAATCGATTTTTTACTATATTTTTACTATACCCTCCACCATTTGCAACGAATTAGAAAATTTTCAAAAAAATAAAATCCATTAAAAATTATTTTAAAATCTTTAAAATATCTAATATAGGAAGGTGCCGATATATGGAGGGATACACGATATTGTGGACCTATAAAGACAAATCTATGTCTGGGTGTAAAGTACTCACAAGGAACTCCTTGTGTGGATTTTCAGATAATTCATTGGAAAAAGTGGGGGATATACGATATTGTGGACCTATATAGACAATTCCGTTTCAGGGGGTAAAGTGCTCATAAGGAACTCCGTGTGTGGATTTTCAGGCAATACGATTGGAAAATGTGGCTAAAATCATCAAAATACCGAATATCGAGGGTACCTTTATATGGGGGATATACGATATCGTGGACCTGTATAGACAATTCTCTCTCAGGGGGTAAAGTACTCACAAGGAACTACTTGTGTGGATTTTAAGACAATTCCATTGAAAAGAATGGCTAACATAATCAAAATACCGAATATCGGGGGGTACAGTTATATGGGGGATATACGATATCGTGGACCTATATAGACAATTCTTTTTGAGTGGGTGAAATGCAAACAAGGGACTCCTTTTGTGGAATTTCAGACAGTTCCATTGAAAAATGTGGCTAAAGTCATCAAAATACCGAATACCGTGGGGGTACCGTTATATGGGGCTATTTGATATTGTGAACCTACATAGATAATTCTCTGCCGAGGTATAAAGTACCCACAAGGAACTACTTGTGTGGATTTTAAGACAATTCCATTGAAAAATGTGGCTAACATCATCAAAATACCGAATATCGGGGGTACCGTTATATGGGGGCTATACGATATCGTGAACCGATATAGCCCATCTTCGAACTTGACCTGCCTGCAGACAAAAGAGAGATCTGTGCAAAATTTTAGCTTCCTATCTTAATTCGTTTAGACTGTAGCGTGATTACAACAGACGGACAGACGGACAGGCGGACAGACTGACGGACAGGGCTAAATCGTCTTAGAATTTTACGCTAATTAAAAATATATATACTTTGTTGGGTCTAAAATGATTATTTCGATGAGTTACAAACGGAATGACGAACTTAATATACCCTCCATACTTTTTTTGGTGGGTATAAAAAGAAAGAAAGACATATCCACTATGTGATGTAGGGTATAAATATGAATTCTGTACAAATTGAAAATAAATAAATAAAAAAATTAATACCCCTGAATGTCCTTTAAAAATAATCTTAAATAATCCTAGATTTTGATTTTAAGAAAAAATTTGAAAAATACACCATCAAAGTTTTAAGGGTTTTTTTTAAGAGGAAACAAACAATTAAATCCTTATTAGCTCTTCAATGCTTTAAAAATGCCAAAAAATCTAATATAAAATCTGTAATCCAAGAAAAAAAGAGTCCTTTGAATATAGCCAATATAGTATATACGAATATAGAATTACTCAAACATAACTCAAAGACTCCTTTAAAAATTACTATCAGAAACCTATGATTATAGATCGGAAAATCCTTTTAAAAATATATAAACAATGGATATGATACATGAAGAGGCTTAAAAATCTAGGAATATCCCTCTGATAGTCATTAAACCAGTAAGGAAAGGTGAAAAGTCGGGCGGGACCACTATGCGTATTTAGTAGAGCCCCTGTAACAAAAAAGCTTATCATGGCTTTAGTGTAGTCACAATTTGGGAACTATATCCAACTCTGAATCGATTTTAACAAATTTGACGGAGGAGCACTATAACATTTCTGTATAGTGCATGATATGACTTCGATAAGGAGGAATTTCCCCAATTGAAAAATTCGGTTGAATATGAAAAATTGTTCCAATTTGATGTCCGGTATCAAATATCGTTGTTGTGAAGGCATGTGAGGAACTTTAACACCCAATCGGATGAAACATATCTATGGCAGCTATAGCTATATCTAAACCGATTTTCAGCAAAATTTCAAGTACATTCTTCTAGGCTGAATTTCGTCGGAAGTGGCAACATTCAACCCATTTTAATATCATTTGGTGCACAATAAACCTGATATCGTAAAAAGATATATATGGAAGCTATATCCAAATCTGGACCGATCATATTAATTAGGCACTTATTTCTTAGGTGTATCTTATTTCTGGTACCAAATATCATTTTTGTAGAGTGCATATTACGAATGACAGGGACTTAAACACCACATCGGATGAAACATAAATATGGAACCTATAGCTATATCCGAATCGATTTTCACCAAATTTGATGTACTTGCGTCTAGACTGAATTTTGTTGGATATGCCCAAAATTTAGGAAATTTGGACTAATATTGCCAATTATGCACCAATAATTAACCTGAAATCGGTTGAAGATATATGTGGGAACTATATCTAAATCTGAACCGATTCGCACCAATTTAAATAGAGTTCGTCCTTGGGCCAAATAAATACTGTTTGGAAAATTTCATTTCAATCGGGTAATAAATGCGACCGGCTTTTTGTCCAGAAGAATATAAGGACAGACGGACGGTCGAACAGACGGACTGACATTAATAAATCGACTCAGAAAGCGATTCTATGAAGATCCTCAAAGTAGCGAGATAGTGCCCGCTTTTTTCTCCATGTTATAAACAAATGCACTATGTGGTGTAGGGTGTATAAATAGTCTAAATAAATCCACGATCATTATTCTGAGATCCCTCCAAACAATCTTAGAAAGTTTGAATATTGTCTGAGAGTCTTCAGAAAAAGTTTAAACCAATTCAAATTTATAATCCTGGGATCCCTATAAATCCTAGGAAAATTGGGGCCTTTATTTAATTTTTAACTTAATTATTTTCTGTCGGAAAGATTTTTACCCACAAAGAAAGCAAAATACGAATACGGTCAAAATCTTCAAATACGTCTTCCCATATTGATCGTTTTTTGCTAGTAGCGCTTCTACATAATATGAACTCAGAATGTGGTGAAATAAAATTGAAAATATTACTATAACGTAAAAATACTTAAAATCGGAGTTTACACCTTATTTGGGCATAAAAGAAAAGTTCGACTGACATGACCCACTTTTTAAGCCAATGAATGAATGCTAAAGCATTCTAAAGCTCTTTTTAAAATTTAAAGCTATATTAAATTATACAAAGTATAGCTCAAAATAAAAAGTTGATTATATTCCTTATGACACATACATTAAGCCTACAAACACTTAGTAGTATTATGGGAGATTTTGATAAAAAATAGAAACGTGTTAAACTAGCAGTCAGGGTATTATGTCTTTGTTTGTAACATGGAGAAGAAGGCGAGATAGATACATAACACCTTTTGATAATTTGCATAGAATCACATTCTGAGTCGATTTATGCATGTCCGTCAGTCCGCCCGTCTGTCTATATATTTTTGTAAACAAAGTACAGGTCACATTTATTGCCCGAACGAAATGAAATTTTGTTTGGCCCAAGGATGAACCCATTTAGGTATAGTTTCCATACATATCTTCGCCCGATTTGCCTTTTATTGTTCACCAAATGTGTACTATAGGTCCAAATAGGATGGAATTTGGCACAAACCAAATTGAGCCTACAAACAAGTACGTAAAAATTGGTAGAAATCGGTTCAGATATAAATATAACTCCCATATATTATATAACTCCCATATATACATCCGATTTTTTATTTGTGTCCTCCA